ATTCACTTTTCATTCTTTTACCAACCGCTTTGCAAGTACTCTTCACCCCCATGTCAAACAAACATTCGCGAAACCAGGGCAAGGTATTTCCCTCTCTGGCTGCATGATCAGAGCTCCAGACACTGCTGTGCATTTCCCTTTTGATAATTCGTGTACCTTCCTCCTCAGAGGCGTAGCGAGCGCCCTCCGTACCCTCCGACCGGAGGGGGCCCCGCAAGGAAGGGGGCCCCTAAAAGTGGCAAAATAAATACCGCATTCCAGTTTCTGCATTGTAAGGGGCCCCGCCCGGACATACGTTCGGAGGGGGCCACGTTCTTTGTTGCTACGGCCCTATTCCTCCTAATAACTGTCAAACTTGGTAACTCTTAAGAGAATTGGGTTTTGGACCCTATATCAAGCTAGGAAGCTTTGTATTTAGCCTCCTCTTGCTTTCTGCTGTTTATTTGATACTTGCTGCTTGCCCTGCACTTAGACAAAGAAAGTAAAGTGTTCTGGGACTTGATCCCACTGAGGTACAGAAGCCGCTGCTTTTCGTAACTAGCCAGGTCCACAGCGAGGACAATCAGGCCGTTACTATGTGCAGAAAGAATTACCTTCCCAACGACTGTTGGGTTTACTAGTGCCACTAGAGCGATGCTTCCTTGGAAGCAGAGACTGAAACAGCTCCGCCAGAACATACCGCCCGACATTTGTCAGTCTGTCTTCCCACACGGTGTGAGAGTACCGCTCCTTCTGCTGCTTGGAATGCTCAGGCAGACACAATCGAGTTTCCCTCCATTGGCTATAGACTATTATGCAAAATTGCTCTGCTGACATTTTACAGTGAATGCAACAATGTTTCCCTTTAGTACTTGCCGCTGAAGGTGGGAGAAAGCTCTGATGCTAGCGCACACATGTGACTGTATGGCTTGCAAGGAACAGCAACAGGTTCACATGGCATGTTCCTTCTATAGAGTAGAGGGAGTTTACCACGTCTGCCTCATTAAGGACCTGTTTCAGAGGGGCATTGCCATTACAGGGCACACTGCAGGTGTACAGGTTGATCTAAGGGTGTGCAGAGCCTATTCTCTGGTGCTAGTCCACTTGCTCAGGTGCGTTTTGTTTTGGGTTTTTTGTTAACCGTTACTACTGGAAAGAAATGTCACTGGAGTTAAAACACACCAATAAAAATATGCAAGTCCAATAACAGCAGCTATTAAATACTTGTGGCTCCTTCTAATATAGCAACAGACATCACAACAATGCAACTTCCCTTGGTACTTGTCTGCAACCGGAGGAGTTTCAAACAAACAAATCCAGGGGAAAGAAAAATTTTCTGAAGAGCAGAAATCTATTTGTTTCCCTTGCCTTTATTAACAGCAGATCGGCAGGCTTTCCTGAAAGTAAATGTGAAAGAGACACCACAGCACTTTTGTGGTAAGACACTGACTGAGTGCTTTCTGGAATGATAAAACAAGCCATTTTAGGCCACAATCTATTAGCCTCCAGTTTAGTTCAATAGGATATTGATCCTGGCTGCAGATACCAGAAATGTGATTTATTTTCTAATTAACAAGTTCTAATGTCTAATTTTGACAGACAAAATGTCTATCATTGCTGGCAGCCACAACAACACCATCAAAAATGTTCCAGGATTTGGGCTCTGGTGTGGGGGAGAAGAGGCTGAGAAAGGGGTACGGCAGTTTGCAGAATATCTGTTGAGACAGGTGATCGGCTCATGTTCAAATTCACACAAAGGACGGGTTTGATAAAGGCACAGCACCAACTAGCCCTCTCTCCCTATGGAAACAGCTAATGAGAGCAAATCTGCTTTTTGCTTTTCTGGGTTTAAGCTGAAAATGAGATCAGGTTTTCCGGTGTTCATCATTTATCTTTACAAAGAATACAGGATTAACAGAGGCACTGTGTGTGTGTGTGTGTGTGTGTATGTGTGTGTGTAATTTTCTGTACCACATGATATGTTTTCACAATCTCTCAAACCTGAGAAATCAAAATCCATATATATTTAAAATTCATTTGAAGGTGAGCTTTGTTCTGTGCTTGCACTCTGAACGGAGTCTACCTTTTTATCTTTGCAATGAGAGGGGTTTGGAATGACCTAGGGGTTGTCTGGCTTGACAGTTGTGCACTTTCCATATAAGAGAAATTAATCCATCTCACAAAGTATTAGTACGTATGGGTAAGAAGAAAATAACTTGGCAACGATAGAGTTTGCCATATTAGTGTAGCAAGAGTAATACTGTAGCACGCATTCTATAAAGATGTGAAATGCTGCATCAGCTGCAGATTTACTACTGTAGGTCATTTTTATTATTTTCTGTATTACACACACACACACACACACACACACACACCCCACACCACACCACACCACAAGCATTTTTAAATAAACTGATCTGCTATCACCTTTCACAGAAAAGAAATTCAAGCTGAATTCGTGTCACCAACGAGCAAAATCTTCCCTGAAGAAATAATCAGGTTTGTTATTGGTAAACATTCTTCCTCAGTGACCTTTCTTTAAAGTCCTCTTGCGGGGATGTCATAATGATCTCTCTCTCTAACAAAATGGCTTTGCTTAAAGCTTCTTATGTATATGGGTTATTGGAGAAAAAAAGGAGTGGGTAAATACAGATATCTGAGCTAGCCAACAATGCCCAAACCACCATAAATTCTTGCCTTTTAGTCTAGAAAATGTGTGGCAAGAACGGTAAACTAAGAACCACCTGTTAATCTAGGAAATTGACCAGAGTACAAGAGACTTCACAGAAAAATTAATTTAATACCCTGTTTGATGTTGCAGATCTTTCAACACCACTTCTGTCCCATAGGTTCCTTCTTTTCATTACTGGTCTTTCAAACTCAGGCCCCAGTTCAGGAAGGTATGGACACTACATACCTAACTTTGAACATATGAGCAATCCCATTGATTTCAATGCTTGAAGTTAAGCATGCACGTAAGTACCGGGCCAAAGAATCAGGGCCATAAGTTGTAATATTTACAGGTGATGTGAATTTCTTCAATGGAGATGGCTGCTACACTTGATTTCACTCAGTTTACACTAAGTCTTCCCTGCACTGCTTGCCTGCTGGGAAGTCCATGTACAAGACAACTTCAATACAACCCAGCTAGTGCCACCACTGGAAACCAGAAGCCTTGACATTAACAGGATTGTACTTCAAAGGATTATACATGTTTGCAGATGACAACAGGATTCCTTATTACAGCTGTCTAATCAAACTGGTAATCCACAATTATATTCAGAGATCAAACAGCTCTGCAAGTACTTGCAATAGAAATTATAGCAATAAAATGCCCGTGTCGTGCCTACAGCATTACACATTCATTTATGATTCCATAGGCATGGCACGCGCCAGCAGTATTCCACACCCTGGAGCTAAATCCTGAGCAACTCGGTCACAATCAGGAAGCATTTAACACAGTGTGTTCTGATTTTGTGTTCAGGTCTTTAAAAAAAGGTAAATCAAAAAACCGGCCCGTATAATCCGAAATATGGCCCCTATTCAGAAAAGCATCTGGATTCAAGAAAGCCCTTGTACTCTTAACTTTAAGCACATGCATAAGTACTTTGGGAGTCAGACTTAAGCATATGCTTAAATGCTTTGTGGAATAAGGGTGAAATTAAACATGTGCTTAAGGGCTTTCCAGAATCGAGATCTGTTTCTCCTTTCTTTACAAGGATACAATGAGAAATAGGATGTGAAACATCCTATCATCATCAATGACTGTAGCAACTGCATTAATTCAGGTTTCATCCTGGTCCCCGCTAACAAATTCCTAGAATATGAACCTGATTCTCCTTTGGGGCTCCAGTGAAGATACTCTTGATTTAGGAGAATCAAAGTGTACACATTTATTTTCTTCTTAATGCATAAAAAATTCCCTTCAACATCTTGACAGTCACATCACATGGTACATTGAACAACAAATAGAACTAGTCAGAATGCATCTAATGATTTTATTATATTATATATATATATGCATGCACTTTCCTAACAGCACTCCATTCCACATCACATGCCAGGATATGGACATCAGAGAATGTATATTCCCCATGAGAATATACTCACGGTGCCAGAGAGAGGTATGTAAAACAAGTAGATATTAACACTAATGGGCTGATTCCGCAGTCTTCCATAGGCAAAACTCCCACTGAAATCAATCAGGTGTTTGCCTGTATAAAGACTGTATGATCAGATCCTCAATTAGGTCTTCAAAACCTTAACATCTATTTTGGACTTTAAGGGTACAGTTCATAAATCACTATGGATTCACAAGAACTCTTTAAACAAAGTTACTTTTCTAATCTCTCACTGGCTAAACACACTATGGCAAAGTACATAACTGTAAACTGTTATAACCTACAGCATAGGAACAACGCATGTTCAGCGTAGGTGCAACATACCAAGCCCAACAGACGTTTTCCAGCTAGATATGTGCATTACACAATTCAGGAAGCGCAAACAGAATTTTTAACTGTAGAGCTTTTGAGAACGCTCAGCCTCTTTCTATTATTCCTTTTAAAGCCACTTTTTTGTAATGGGTCAGCTTCATCTGTGGTGAAACTCCATGAAGTCTGATGGAGTTGCAGCTGTTTCAACAAAGACAAACTTTCACCCATCACCTTTGTCAGTGTTTCCTTTTGAAATCATTCCACCATTTCAGAGGAGGGTTTATTGAAACTAGAGTTTGAGTGCCTATTGGTCATTAGAACCTGGAAAAATGGGTCTCTCAGAGCATCTGGGCAAGTTATGACAGTATGGATTTTAACAAGTCTTCAAAACTTCTTTTTAGTTCAGTTCAAACAATACTTCAAAAACCAGCTCATTCAGCACAACAGCTATTATTTAAAGACAGTAAGTCCAGCAATGCACAACTTTACTACAGTACATATTTCAAATTCTTCACGGATCCAAAGTTAAAAAACAATATGAAACATAGCAGCCTTAGCAAACTTGAAGCAATGGTAACAGTCACCTACCCTGTGAGGACAACGACAAAATCCATCACGTTCCAGCCGTTTCGGAGATAAGAGCCTTTGTGAAAAACAAACCCCAGAGCGATGATTTTTATACCAGCTTCAAAACAAAATATTCCAATAAAGTACGGCTCAGTATCATCCTGAAAGGAAGGGGAAAAAATTAGAGATGTCAAAGAGAGAGAGACATTTCTGTGTTTGCCTCAACTTCTGTACAACTAAAAATAATGTATTCAGTGTTCAAGTTTCTTAAGTGGAAACCCATATATATTTATGTTACCAGACCTAAGGACATAGTAGTAAAAAAAAAAAATAATAATAATAATAAAATAAAAAACTGTTCCATGAATTTTTTTACATTCAAAAATAAATTGTGATTCAACATGTTTGCGAGTCTCATTTTCTTTTGCCGTGAATATCTGAGCATTCAAGCTTCAGACGCCCAAGTAGTCATGAAAAGGGAATTTTAAGATCAAATATTCACCAAGCACAAAATTTCAAATTTGAGGTTTAATTGTACACTGCAAAGTTCTTCCCATGTTGGTGACTTACAAGCACCATGCAGTCGGGGACCAGAAACAAAAGCACCTGACACATAGACAATCAGACCAGCATGGACTGCAAACATTGGGAACATATTATTTGCAAATGATCTGCAAAGTGAAAATTAGTTGATGGGGAAATAAGTTGAATCATGGAATAATTTGAGAATGTTATGACCAGATTGTGGACAATTCATTTTAATAAATGTAAGGCAAAATTCAACCAAGATTACTCTTTGTGAATGAATTGTTTAGCTTCATTTGATTTATAAATGCCTTCCCACTTCTTGTAATACTGCGTACAGATGTGGTCTCCTCATCTCAACAAAGATTTACTGGCACTAGAAAAGGTTCAGAGAAGGGCAACTAAAACGATTAGGGGTTTGGAACGGGTCCCATATGAGGAGAGATTAAAGAGGCTAGGACTTTTCAGCTTGGAAAAGAGGAGACTAAGGGGGGATATGATAGAGGTATATGAAATCATGAGTGGTGTGGAGAAAGTGAACAAGGAAAAGTTATTTTCTTGTTCCCATAATATAAGAACTAGTGGCCACCAAATGAAATTAATGGGCAGCAGGTTTAAAACAAATACAAGGAAGTTCTTCTTCACACAGCGCACAGTCAACTTGTGGAACTCCTTGCCTGAGAAGGTTATGAAGGCTAGGACTATAACAGCGTTTAAGAGAACTGGATAAATTCATGGAGGTTAAGTCCATTAATGGCTATTAGCCAGGATGAGTAAGGAATGGTGTCCCTAGCCTCTGTTTGTCAGAGGGTGGAGATGGATGCCAGGAGAGAGATCACTTGATCATTGCCTGTTAGGTTCACGCCCTCTGGGGCACCTGGCATTGACCACTGACGGTAGACAGGATACTGGGCTAGATGGTCCTTTGGTCTGACCCAGTAGGGCCGTTCTTATGGTCTTATAATGATCCACCCCTCCCCCATCCTCCTCCAAAGTCATTTCTTCTGTCAATTCTCCTTTCAGTAACTTTCTCCTCCATGGTGTCTGCACAGCTTCCTTTATCTGAATTGTTGCCCTATATTTTTGTTTAACTTTGTGAAACAAGCTTAACTTTGTGATTAGCTTGATCATAATTCAGGCAAAACTCCTATTCACTTCCCTTGGAGTTTTGCCCAGTTAACGACAATGGGACTGGGTTTTTAGGCCCCCCAACCCTGCAATGAGCTTTTCTGGGCTCACGTGGAGTTCACTGAACAATCAGAACTTTATTCTGTCAGCTCATTGGGAGTAGGGGCCATATTTTGTTCAGCACCACAGACATTTGTGGCATTGTCATATTAGATTATTTAAAGTAAAAATTAAGTATCAGAAAATTCTCTTCGGTGCCAAAGAGGAATGGCTGTGGCTGGCATGAACGTACAAGCTGGAGATAACAAAGGCAAAGACATTAGGTACAATTTTCAAAAGCACCTAAGGATATGTCTATACTGCCAACAAAATCCCCCACAGAAGCTGGTCTCAGAGCTGGAGTCTACAGACTCGGGATCCTACTATAGCACTAAAAACAGCCGTATAGACCTTCCTGCTCAGGCTGAAGAGCAGGCTGTGAAGCCTGGCAAGGAGGTTGGTCTCTGAGAAAAGCTCCAGCCCAAGTGGGAACATCTACACTGATATTTTTAGCCCTGTAGCATGAGCCCCCATCTGTAGACCTGGGCTCTGAAACTTGCTGCTGTAAGGTTGTTTTTTCCAATGTACACGCCTTAAGTGACTTAGCAGCCTATGTCCGGTTTTCAAAAAGGACAGATATTTGGGAGCCTAAGACCCATTGATTCTGAGTGGACTGTAGGCTCACTTCATCCCTGGTGTCTTGCCATTTAAATCAATACAATTCCAGTGGGGATAAAATTTAGCCCAGTATTTTTTGGGCAGGAACAGCAGCAGTTTTGACTCTCACAGGTTAAGCGGTAAGGAAGTGAGATTGAGACAAGAATTTGTTTTGCAAGCATCAAAACTCTTGCTCAGCTCTCAAACCCAGCACATGTGCCCATGCTCAGACTTTCCAAACAGGGTGTACCATAAACGGCCAAATTCTCACCAGTGCAGGAAGCAAGGCGCCACACCCCTCCCAAACAGCTACATACACATCCTGCAAAAGCAGCATGAACATACATCCACATTCACACCAAGGATTCTTCACGGAGGAAGTTGTCAAGTAATTGTTAAGAACGCCCATCTGAAAAACTCAGCAATCCATTGTTTTCCCAGAACTCCATGCCCCAACCCACCCACTCTATAGGAACAATTATCATAGGGATGTGTGTGCAGTTCCTATGGTTAAGGGCAAAGAGGGGTCAAACATTCCAAAATTTCAAACTCTCCCTCCCCTCCCCCCAAAACTCTCAAGTTTGTAGTGATAAATTTTCATCATTTTTCAGCCAACTAACAGGGCACTTATCCCCCTGCTCCCAAACTCCTAGGATGGAGTTTTGCAACACATCAAAGAGATCTAGAGGCTCAGACCCTATTAAAATTAACAGGAATTAAGCATCCAAATCCCCTAGATCGGCATGAAGACCTGATATTTGGGCTTTTTACTTTGCCTTCTTTCCTTCCTTAACTGCTTTCATAACTTGAGAAAGAGCAGACTGGATGGAGGGTGTATCCCCCACTCATCTCTCCCCCAGAGTCTTTACCTGCTTCCATCCCTCACTATCCACACCCCAAAAATCTATCCCTTCTATAGGGCAGGAAGCCTGTAGCTGGTTTCCTGTAATTCACATGATTTTTCCTTCTTTAAGTTGGTGATTCTTAGCTTTTTTCATACCAGGACCTCCGCTAAAGCTCCCAGACCCCTCTCCTAGTTAGCAACAAAGGAAAGGTGAGGGTCACCACCTGACTCTGATTTATGATGGCTACCGCTTGCAGCTCACACCTCCAGACGGAGACTCTGTGATTTGGGAAAAAACACTTTCTTCTTCTCTGTAACAGGAGCTGCACTGGTTTGGAGAAGAGACTCCAACATGGAGGACAGCTCAGGTAGGCTCCAATTCAGCAGCATGTCTAATAAACCGGATGCCAAAAGAGGGATGTTCCTTGAACCATGGGCGGGGGGCACACAGTCATCTTGGAGCCAAGAAGGGGAAACCAAGGCACAGCTGCTGCCTCAAGCTCCCCTTCTCAGCTCCCCAATGAACACACACACCCCACATGTGTCAGAGACCATTCCTTTTTCAGGGCCTGGTTTCCTAGACCCACACAATAAGTATAAGCATTGTTCCCCCCCACAAAATAGGGCTTCACAAATAGTCAGCCCCCTCTGGGCTTAGCCCACCCTCAGTCTCAGGATCCTCTACAACCCAATAGACAAACAGTGCCGTCTCCCCTACCAGCAGGGTCTGCCCCCTCAAGGCTTTCTAACCCATCAACCACTCGCCTGGCTACTCTGGAGAGCCCCACCCTCAGGCTCCTCTAGTACCTGGCTTCTCTCCCAGTCCATCTGCTCCACTCCTGTGAGGAGCCCTTCCCCTACTCTCCTCTCTGCTGCCTCTGCTTCAGCAGCAGAAAGCCTTATATCTGGGGTCCTATAGGTCACATGCTTATTATGAGTCATCTGGCTTGTGACCTCCAGCTCCCAGCTTTAAAGGGCCATCGCCCATAAGACACACTACGGTGCCTACATGCACCCAAGGACCAGTACTCTACTAGAGGGCCTTATAGGATAAGTCCCTCCCAAAGCTAGGGGAAGGGGAAGGAAGTCCTTGGCAGCTCCAAGGGGGCTGGGGGGAAAGAGGATCCGAGCTGGGTTCATGTCTTTGCTGAAAAGAAAAAACAAACACACACCGCTGGGGTGGGGGCTGGAAGGGGAGGTCTCTTCTGATGTGGGGGGGCCTCTCTTCTTCAGACCCCCTTTCACCAATTGCCATGGTTTCAGCCCAATGAGACCTGTCTCTTCCCTCTGGCTGACAACTCAGCAATGCTGCTGTCAGTCAGGGAGATGCCTTCAGATCATCATCTATCCCAGTGGTGCCCAAACTGTGGGATGCGCCCCCCTAGGGGAGCACGTAGGAATGTTTGGTGGGGCCCAGGCCAGCCCCCACGGGGGGTGGAGAGGGAGCGCCACCCAGCCCCACTCTGCTCCAGCCCCAACCCAGCCACGGTTTCGCTCCCAGCCATGGGTCTCAGCCCCTGGCTCCCAGCCCAGCTGTGGCTCTGCTCCCAGCCCCGGCCAAGGCCCATCCACAGCTCTGCTCCTGGCCCCAGCCCTTTCCCCAGCTTCAGCCCCCGACCATGGCCCATCTGCAGCTCCACTCCTGGCCCTAGCCCCAGCCTCAGCCCCCAACCACGGCCTGGCACGTGGCTCCGCTCCCAGCCCCACCCCCAGCCTTGTCCCCTAGCCACAACCCCACTCCCGGCCCCAGACCCACCCCCATCTGCGGCCCCAGCCTCAGCCCCTGACTCCTGGCCTGGCAGCGACTCTGGCCCCAGCCTCGCAGCCCCCTTACGTCTGTCCGCATCCCCCCACACCTAGGAGCTGTAGCCTCGGCTCCCCATCGCAGCTCCGGGTGGTGGGTGTGGAGAGGGATAAAGGGGGGGTATGATGTGAAAAGTTTGGGGACTACTGATGTAGCCCCATTCA